AAAACAGACTTGGTGAAAATGACAGCAAAAATATTCTAAGAGTGGCAACACGGAAAAGCAAAGCTAATATTGGATTTGAACCATCAGATGGAGACTGCAAGACTAAATAAGTCAAATAATAGCAGCAACAACAAAGTAATACGGCTTTGCAAAGATGATGCTCCTGAGAGTTAAACACGTCTGCCTGCCAGATCATTGGCAGTGCAGGAGGACATCCATATATCTAGCTAGTTTTGTCTCATTGGCCATTCATTGACTGTATGTCAAGTACAAAGTATAGTCAAGTCCTTACAATGAGTTATGTCCTCTATAAACACCACATATCACTGCTCAGCAGCAAAACCAAACATATTTTTGAGGTATATATGATAAGCAGGAGGGAGCTGTACACATCCTTGTGATTAGAAATGGTGTCTGTGACTGACCCAGCTTCCAGGAGAGTCAGGATGTGTTTTCATGAGCTGGGCATGGGAGCTTGTTAAAGACTGAATGGTCCCACTGCATTTTGCTGTGGCTGTCACTGTGGAGTTTCCCTAGGAGCAAAGCTGTGCCACCAGCAAGGCGAGATCCAAGTGGGACACCTGTGCTTGGGTCCTCATCCCCTTTGCCCATAGATTTGATTGGGGTAGGAAATTATGTAATATGAGTTTAAAGGATTTCTGGGATTGGACCATTGTGCAGATGAATCAGCAGTTTCTAACCCATCCCTGCTGGGAAGGGATCTGTTTCCTTCACAGGGAGGCTGCAGACTTCTTTGCTACCTGATTAAATTAACAAAATTCTGGTAATACCTTCTCACTTTTGAATTAAAGGATTTTTCGACAAAGCAAAGGGGTACAGGTTTTTCTCACCCCTTCTTGTAGCTTCCTGCATCTTTTGCAGGGACTTAAGAATAAAAACAAGCTTTCCTTTCTGTCCTGACCATACATCTCCAAGTACAACCCTTTTGCCTTCAGGCTCAGCTTTGATGGCACTGCTGAAAGTTGTTTCAAGCTCTGAACAGTGGAGAGCTGGCTCATAGAGCCCAGTGTGGGGCTTGGCCATCCCAGGGCACCCAAACTGACCCTACTGAGGGGCTCTGGTTCCCAGCACCTGTCTTTCTGTGCTGGTGGCAGAGATAGGAGGACAAGCAAAAATAAAACAGTTTGAAGAACTTCCAGCCATGGCTCTCTGAGGCCCTGGTGCAAATGGCATAGCCCAAGATAAGTGGAAGGATTTTTGCTTCCTGGCGTCCCCTCCTGGGCCCATGGACAGAACCAGCTGGCAGGGAAGTGCAATTTCACCACGTCTCATCTGTCAGCTGTGCCACAGGCTTAAACATGGCATGGTGGGGAGGTGTGAGACCAGTACAGCCCTCACCTGGAGATATTTGCTGGAAGGGATTTGTCTCCGTGTTGAAGCCCTCATTCCTCTCTGTCTAAAATAAACAACCAAGTGAGCATGGGACTTAAAGTAAGCAAAGACCAAGACCAAGATGTTACCAAATGCAAATGACTAAAGACTAAAGGAAAACACAGTTCTAGAAATCTCTAAGGTGGTGCAGGACACATAAATACCATTTTCGGAAGGGAGAGGGGAAATCCAAGTAATGGTCACTGTTTAAACCATGGCAGAAGGAAGAAGTGGATGTTATTTTTTCATGTCTGAACACTCAGTGTGCCACGGTGGTGAGGGAGCTTAGGTGGTGCTGTGCAGTTCTCATGCTGCAGTGCTCTGGCATCTCAGCAGTGAGCTGCTTTTTGGTTTCTTGCACTGTTAGCTAGCTGAAAAAGCTGGGAGTGATGAGCAAGCACTGCATCCTTCAGGAAGAACCATTCATTCAGATTTTGTTATTCCTTTAAATTTCCCTTTCTCCTAATAGGATCAGTAAGGATAACAACAGCTGGATAAATGAGGATCTGGTAGTCAGTCATTTGTCCCAGGACTAGGTGCCAAGTTTATTCCAAGTTAAATGGTTACTTGCTATTAGAAACCTCTGCTCTGAGGAGTGCAATATGCATTATGCACTAGCAATTGCTAATGTTGTCCCCATCACACAACAGCCCTTACCATCAGACTGAAGTTTCCTGGGGGACCTCCTGGTGTACCACAGGTAAGCCAAATTGCAGACTGTGCAAGACTGTGCAATCACAGGATGTGCCCTTGTAAGCTCTTGGAGCTTCTGTTTTCTGTGGAAGCCATTCACCCAGGGTTATGACTGTGGCACAGCTGAATTCTCAGCATGGCAGCAGAAAGGAGAGTGCCATGGGACTGCAGCTCTCATCAGGGAGGAGGCAGCATCCTGTGGCTCACAGGCTGCCACAGGCAAGCAAAGGGAGAAAGGAGAGAGTCTGCAGCCATGCTGCAGCACACCCTGCCCTGCACTGAGGCAGCAGAGGGCTTTCCTAGCATCAGGTCTGAAAAAAGTGCAGATAAAGTGTTGTGTTTGTCTTGAGGAGGAAAGTCTGGGTCAGAATTCCCAGTGCTGAATCCTTGGGCATGCTGGTGCAGTTCTCAGCATCCTTTGTTGGGATGGAGGGAATGGCAAGCTTTCCTCTTCTTTGGCTGTTTGCCGCCAATTTGAGACCAAACATTGTGGCCATTGGCAAAGCTCAGAATATATCTCATAGCTGCTCTAAACTGTACAAGCTTGCAGCCAGCTCTGGGGGCTGCTCAGCTGCCAGGATGTGCCAGGACACAGAGCTGTCTGCCTGCTTCCCTGTCTTCCCCAAAGCCCCATTGCTGAGAGGTGGGATGGGCAGGTCGTCCCCACGCAGCGCCCACTCCAGCCCAGCACGGTCTCGGAAGCACCAGGCCACTGCTGCAGAACAAGCTCTGCAGCCTGGAATGATCATTTCCAGGAGGAAAGGAGGAATTTAGGTGTGACATTTGGCTTCTAGCATTTCACTAAAGATGAAGTAATAGATGAGGTTATTTTATAACCTAAATATTAGAAGAAAGTGCTTCAGATGTGGGAGGAAGCAAAAGCTGCAGTGAGGCAGGGTGGGTAAATAGCAACACACACTGTTTGATAAAAGTTGCATGTCAGTTTAGTTTCTTCTGCTTTGTGTCACTCCATAGATCCTCTCTGAAGGAGTTGTATTGTGAATTTAATAAAGGCAGGAAATTCCTTCTATTCCTCCTGGTTTCCCTCAGCTGCAATTCTTTATGTGATGTCTTGTTTTATAGCTGTTATCAATGAAAACCATTAAGTAGCTCCCACTGCAAAAAAATTAAAATCAGATATCTGTCTTTGATCTGGTAAATCAGGGCATTTTCCTCAAACTGTAGTCATGTACAATAGAATTTGTACCCCAAAACAGCGGAACTTTGCAACTCCAAACTGAAAAGATGAGAAGTATTCCACATAGAGGTTAATTTCTTTGTCATTTCTTTGTCATTTCTTTGTCATACGTCAAAAATTTCCTGCAAATATTTTATTTTGTTTTGTTTTAGAAGAAAGTTGTGCAAAAGACCCTAATCTGTTGCACAGATAGTTACATATTTTCTCCCACCACAATGGAAAATTTTGCTTCTCACCATGGCCAGGTGAGAAGCAAAATATCATATTCTCACAGTACTGTGAAAAGATTTGTTAGTTCAGTTCATTTCTCAAACTTATCTTCCTAATGTCAGTATTGAACTGTTATTTTTGTCAAAAAAATTAAAACTACTCAAAGGTGGAAAAATACACCCCCAAGCTGCTAGAGAAACACGATGAGAATATAGGAATGTTGTAATCTTTGTCTATATGATGTTATATTATTCTGTGGAATGGAGGCAACATAATTAAATTTATACCCATCACAGAGTGTGCAATGGAATCACAAAACAATCAGATTGATAGTAGCATATAAATTAGGAGGGGGAAGGGTGGCTGGGTGGGGTGTTGCAAATAAGTCTCAGATACCACACAAAAGTCACTATGACTCTTTAGTTTCATCAGATAGAGGAGGTTAGCCAGGATAATTAGACAATTTTTTCTTTGCCCCCAGAAGGGTGTATAAACTCTACTGCGCTCCTGTACACTCTCTTCTATTTATTAAACAGTGTTTATCATCAGAGTGATACACATTAGCAAACTCAATATTTTATTTTTGAAAAACATTGTAACCCTAGCCTATTAGAGCTTTTCTTTTGCCATATTTTAAATTTCTTGTTTCTTCTATGTTAACTAAAATGGATTCAGAAAAGGTTGCAATAGTTTTCTGTATTTTTCAAGAGATGGTATTTTTTTCTGCCTTTCTGATGCTCAAAAATAAGTAAATATTTTTGGCGTCAGAGCTCAGGCATGGCAAATTTCAGAAGGATGAGAAACAAAAAAGAAGGTGCACTAAGAGCTGCTAGACCTAAATAACCTACAAACCCTAAAGTTAGGGCACCCTCACTAATTAATAGAACCTCTCAGAGAGAGCGAGAGAAAACCAGTGTCTGTCTCTGCCATTGCTTCCTGCGCTCAGACTACTGAGGATTTGATGGGGGAAAGAGGGAGGAGAAAAGAGGGCAAAGTAGTTATTGCCAGATCTCTTTTCCCTGCTGTGCCAGCAGTCTCTATAGGTAGGACATGCAGCTGTGACCTGTGCTGATCCCCTGCACTGCCAGGCTGCCAGTGCATCCTGCACAGGTGGCACACCTGCTCACGGTGCTCTTCTGCCTTCTGTACTTCAGGTTGGTCTCTTGAGAGAGTAATTGGGCAATCCTGAGCACAACAGTGTCCCTGGACGTGGTTGGGCTTTAGCTGGACCTGTTGAGTTGCTGCACGTGGCACATACGGACATCACATTATGCCAGAGTTACCAGCAAAGGACACAGGGGAATAATACTGCTGATTTGATGCATGTTTCCTTTTCTTTTCTTTTTTTTGCAATGAGTGTGCTATTAATACTGCAGTCACCAGAACTTTTGTTGTTGTTGCTTAGATCAATAGCAAGGGGACGGCGGTGAGGAGCTGCTGTGGTTCTGGCTGCTGCTGCACGAGATGAACTGGTGAATAACGTGTGTGATTTCTCTTTCCCTTGTAGTTGCACTCTGCAGTGACCAGGATCCAAGTTCAAAGACCTGGTTTCAATTACACGTTTGCCCATATATGTATCCTGAACAATGACAAGACATGCATAGTGGACGACATAGTGCATGTACTGGAGGAATTAAAGGCTGCTCGTTCTTCTAATCGAACTAATTTTGCAATCACTTACCCGATTACTCACTTAAAGGATGGCAGGGAAGTGTACAATGGGCATCAGCTCGGTGGGGTTACTGTGCACAGCAAGGACCGGGTGAAGTCTGCAGAAGCCATTCAGCTCACCTACTACTTGCAGGCAATCAACTCCTTGAATGACATGGTGGCAGAGAAGTGGGAATCCATTTTTTGTGACACTGTTGAACTTTTCCAGAAATCCAACAGGAAAATCAAAATGTATCCTTTCACTTCCTCTTCGCTGAAGGAGGATTTCCAGAAGACGAGCAGGGTGTCAGAACGCTACCTGATCACGAGCTTGGTCCTTGTGGTCACCTTGGCCATTCTCTGCTGCTCCATGCAGGATTGTGTCCGCAGCAAACCCTGGCTTGGCCTGCTGGGATTGCTGACAGTGACCCTTGCCACCCTGACTGCTGCTGGGATCATCAATCTCACTGGTGGGAAATACAATTCCACCTTCCTGGGAATCCCCTTCGTCATGTTAGGTAACTATCTCCTCTCTCTCTTTTGTGTGTTTGTGCCTCCCTGATGCATTTCCCAGCAAGCAGACAAGCATCACTGCATGGCTCCTGTTGTCTCATTCCTGCAGCACTACCCCATGCCAAATCCACACTGCCTCTTTTCCTAAACTGTTTTTATGGTGCCTGGACATTAAAATCATGCCTGGGGCTCCAGTATGGCATAGCAAAAGGCTGTGGGATGTGGAGCCTGTGCAGTAGCAAGGAACAAGGATGTGCAAATGCCGTGCCTTTTGCAGAGAGGGAGCCCAGCTGCTGCTTCTCTGTGGATGTTTTATTCTGGTTTTGGAGGGAGACCTTTGCAGTGGTCCCCATGCAACACCGACAGCATCAGCTGTGCTGGCAAATCAAAGGGCTGCCCGTGTTGGACATTTAGGGAGTGCTGGCTCCTTTGGAGACCAGAGCAATGCTGTTCCTGGCTTGGCAGGTGTCTCCCTGTGGGATCAGAGCAGTGGTTGGTTCTGGGTTGCATTTCTCCAGAAGTCCTTGTGTTGGATGAGCAAGTGTAGGGAGAGTTTCACAGTCCTGGGGTGAGAACTGGGACAGGCACCCCTGGTCAGGGGTGGACCTGCAAGCTCAGCACCAGCACATCCCATGGCAGAGGGTTATGGAGGGAAGGGGCACTGGTTGTTCCCTGGCTCCTGTGCCAGCAGAAACATCTTTATCTCCCTGGGTTTTGTACCACCTTCACTCACTGTGGAGTATGGAGTGGTTCCAGTTTGTTTTGTTTGTTTTCGTCAAGGGTAGGAAAGGGGAGGACAGAAGTCTGGTCACAGACTTCTCCCAGACCAAAGTCAGAGCCCTCTCCTGCTGGCACCAGGGCATTTGTGGGAATTCTGCATATTGTACCCAAAGGGGCAGGAGGACTTCACAGGAGACAAAACGAGAGCTCTGGAGAGTTCACAGCCTCTTTGTTTGTTTTTGGTTCATAACCAGTGTGAAAAGCTTTGTGCACTGTAGGTGTTTAATATGTCCTTGTTCACGCCATTATTCATTTGTGGAGAATAATACATGCATTGATTTGATCACAGCTTCCTCAGCTGAAAATCAGTGTTCAGTAATCCTTCAGGTTTCAAGTGTAAGAGTGTCTCCACTGACTTAGTCACATCATGTAGTGATATGACACGTTTTGAGCACAGCTATTTTTATATCCAGCACCGGGTTCCTGTGCTGTGCTGGTACTGTAGTGCTGCTGCACTGTGGTATTGTTGCACTTTAATTAAAGAGTATGCCTCAGTGCATCACACTACCAGTTAACATACAGAATATATTCAGTGACAAACAGAATCCAGCTACATTACATCGGCTGTCATTTTCAGATGACATCTGTGAAAATTAAACTACATTGTAATCTAGAGGAAATGCAGCACCAGAAAGTCAGAGTCAAAAGAAGGGTATCTTTCTGACCTGAGTCTCTGGTTTCTTTGGTAGGTTTTTATGCCTGTTCGTGTATTATAAAATTCAATTCCTCAAACTAAGCAGTGTATATTAAGTGTAACTTTAGATAGGAGGGGATTTTCTGATGTGTTACAAGAGTAGCAGAAAAGCAGTCTAAAGTCCAGACATATGAAGTGAAAGTACATGCGAAAACTGACTCAAAAATATGAAATATTATCTTTTTTTAGGGATCAAATATCTGCTCACTCGGACAACCTTTCAGATCTTTAATTTACTAGTAGTGACAATGCTGAGACTTGAAATCCTCAAAGACTTACAGATAACTATGAAAAGTTTCACGACTATTTTAGTGCTCCTTTTAAGTGCCAAGCTGTATAGTCAATTCTGCTTTTCTTTTAGGTTTTTTTTTTTTCTTTTTCTTGATTTTTTTTTTGCTCTTGCTTGGTTGAAGTATTCCACTCTTAAAAGGGCAGCTCAGCTCCCACTGTGAACAAGTCAAGATAGAGCAGCCAAGTCCGTGTAAATCTTGCCCGCTTCCCCAGCTGCATAAAATCTCCCAAGGGATGGGAATATCAACAGGTGAACAGAAGGCACTGACAGCATTTTGGAGTTTTTAATGGGAACTGTTTTAAGCTGGCAGATAGCTAGAAAGGCAGGTTGGCCTTTTTTTTTCTTGTTTCTGAAGTACAAAGGCAAGATTCATGCGTTTGGAGATGCATTTCATACCTAGATGTTGTTTTGCTTATAAAGGATGTTTTAAGTCAAGGCAACTGAAGGCTACAGACACCAAGAGCCTCCATTACAGCCTGCTGAACTGCTTCACTTAATTCCAGTGACCGTCAGATTAGATCATAGATTAACTGACCTTTAGAAAGCTAAAGGATTTCTGGCTAACGACGTAGCCCTGTATCTATTACTCATAATCTCATGGCTAAAAGCAGAAATGAGATAGAAAAAATGATTACACCGGACACATTTCAGGCACAGCCCCTTTACTGGTATACATCATTAATGAAGTTTCCCTGGTTTATAGCAGCTGAGGATTTTTAACTTTTCATCAGCGTTGCGGAGGCGGGGGGACACTCTCCAGACATCATTTGACACAGGATGAGATTACATCTTTCATAACAAATAGTTTTCATCATGCACTCTGTCTCCTCCTTGGACTACTTCCTCCTGTGTTTCACTGCACAACCACTACAGCATTTGCATCATGTCTAACCTGAGTTCCCCTTTTGTGACTTAGCTGTCCTCCTTACTTATCCATTGCATCTGGAAAATAATTTATTTTCTTTTTCTTTGCATATTTGGTACCACTCTCACTTGCCCAGTCTTCTTCCTTTTCATCCCAGCTTTCCTCAGACTCACACAGACTGTGTTTACCAGACTTCCAGCAATCTTCTTACTTTTGACCATTCCACATCTTCCATGGAGTGTGGTTCCTAAATCCAGGCACAGGATTCAGACTGAGGCTTTCAGCAGCACGTAGAGTAGGAGGAGGATTTTTCACATCTTGCATATGGCACTGCTGTTCATACATCGCCATATGTCATTCATTTTTTTCTCAGCAGTATGAAATGGTTGGCATTTGGTTGGTGGTACATGGTAATTCACAGATCCTTCATGTTGCTTTCTACCCTGTTTTCACAGCCATTTATTCCAAACAACATGTAGAAGTTTGGCCCTGTCCTTGCTGAATTATAGCTTGTTTATCTCACACCATTTCTCCTCAATAAGTTTATCTGGAGACCATCACTGTCTCCAAGATGTATTAGCTGGTCAACAATGTTTTGCAATTATCAACCTTTTCATATTTTCAAGAATTACTTTCTGAATAGGTTGTCCAGTCACAAGCCCAGTCTAAAAATATAGGCAGTATGTCTGGAAAATAGTCTGATCAAAGTGCTTTGTAATACTTCTTCCATTCATCCTGTTTTCTTTGACATTCCTTATTCATCAGCCATTTCCAAGAACAAACAAGCTACAGTGAAGGGTACCAGCCTCTGTAGATGTTGAATCCTCAGCTTTTGCATCAACAGGGAATTTAAAAAGTTACTAAATTACCATTACTTACCAAATTACAGTCTTAAGCTCAGGCTGTGTAAGTGTAGGCAGGAATATCTTTTGCCTACTCCACCTGTTAAATATGACATGCCAGTTTAAACACTTCATACTTTGGTTTTAATCTTGGTAGTTTATTCTAATTTATTTTACTTTTGATTAAGGCAGATTACTATGACCCATCTTACAAAAGATGACTCTACATAGTCTGAGTATGTCATTACTGTGACAATTTTTATGGTGAGGCAGGTTTCCTTTCTGCTGTCCCTGATTTCTAACTCAATGGCAAAAACTGAAGCTGGGAGAAATGTTGCCAGAGACCCCCTTCCCCAGCAGATACTAAATAGTGAAGGTTCCCTTTGGTGCCTGGAGGTCCAGCTGTGAGAGGCCATGGCTGGGGCTGGCCTGAACCCCACTGATGGCTGGGGTGAAGCAGCAGAGTCCAGGCTGGCTGCAGCCACTCTTTTCTCTGGGATACCTTGTCAAGTCAAACTGGGAACTGCTCTTCTCCAGTTATAGGTTAACACAGGTACTTCCAACTTGAAAGTGAAGCCTAAACCCTGGGAAAATTAGCAGGCTCCCACCATTTGTCTGGACATAATATGAATTAGCTTATGTCTCTGTGGTTTTTTCAAATTGCCATCTACATCTATCATTGTGCAAACAAGTAATTTAAGGACAAGTTTGCTGATATGTCTAGATCTTGTGAATACTTTGCTGAATTAGGGATGTTCATTTTTGACCACAGGAACCAAAAAAAATTAATTCTACAACTAGGTTGGGTTTAAAATAGCTGATTTATAGTGTCAGCTGAAAAACAGAATTAAAATTCTGATTTCCTATTGCCTTCTTCATTAAAAACTACAGATGTTTGGTCTGGCACAGATGCTAATATATCCATCATAAGTTTCCCTTACACATTAAATGCTGTTTAAAAACTGCCAAACCTTTAAAAATAATGTTTTCCTCAAAAAATCACAGTGTTACCAAACAAATCATTGGACAACAACCAGCGCTGTCTGAACAAGTTTTTGGCATGACTTTTTTTCCCTTCCCAGAGGCAGAGTGGAAACCTAGGCACTCAAAAGAAAATTGCAACATAGCCCTTTGCACTGCAAACTAGCAATGTGTTTGCTGTTCCTTCAGAAATGGATACAGCTTACTCGGGGAGAAGTGGCTCTCTTCAGCTGCCAAGTTCGTGAAAAGCATCGGCTCTGTGAAACCGCGCTGGAACGCCGGGCGCTGCCAGATATGGGCAGGGACTCAGGGCCAGCTCCCTGAGCTTATATTTAGCCTCCAATGCTGGCAGGGGAAAAACAGGTAGAAGTTATGAGAGTGGCTTCAGCTTGTAGCACACTGTAAAAGGAAATGATAGGCAGCCGTGTGTGAAACTCAGCAAAAACGGGCAAATGAAAACCCCTTCTTACAACCCCCATCGCATCCCGCCCTGCAGCATGCCCCTTCTGGGCTGAGAGAAAGGAAAAGCAGTCAGCAGAGAGATCCAGGGA